TTATTATTATATTAAAACTTTAACCGTTAGTATAGCCATCATTATTTACATTACTGTGTTTAATTATCTGTATTATCATTGTTATTATTAGTAATTGTTGTTGTTCTTGATATATTGTCATTGTTACTACAAATATTGGCATTATTATGATTATCCTTGTCATTATCATTATCATTATGTTGTTGTTGTTGTTGGTAGTATCATTATTACTATTATCATTATTTTAGTAGTGGTAGTAGGAGTGCTAGTAGTAGAAGTAGTACTAGTAGTTATAGAAGTAGTAGTAATTGTAGTAGTAACTCTAATAGTAGTAGTAGTATTTGCTACTGTTGTCACTATTATTATTATAATTATTATTATCGTTTTATTACTATTACGACTTTTGGCGGTTGTGGCAGTAGTAGTAACATTACTGTTATTGTTATTCTTATTATTATTATTAGTAGTAGTAGTAGTACTTCCTCCTCCTCTCCTCTCCCTTTCATCCCCCTCCCGCATTCTCCTCTTCATTCTCACCTTCCTCCTTTATTCTTCCTCATTCTCACCTCCCCACCACATTCTCCTCTTCCTCTCACCTCCCTCCCTCATTTTCCTCCTCCTTATCACCTATCTCCCTCATTTTCACCCTCCTTCTCACCTTCCTCATTCTGCTCTTCACCCCCTTCATTCATTCTTCCTCATACACCTCATCCTCACCTCTCTCCTTCATTCTTCTTCATTTCCCTTATCCATCTCACTTCCCTCCCTCATTTTCCTCCTCACCTTCTCTCCATTTTCACCCCTTCCCTCACTTTCCTTCGTCATTTTCCCCATCCACCTTCTCACCTCCCTCCCTCATACCTCTCTCATGCTCTCTTCACCTTCTCACTTCCTTTTCTCATTCCCCTCATCTTTCTCTCCCTCCTTGCTCATTCTCCCTCATTCTCCTCCACCATCGCACCTCCGTCCCCCATTTTCCCTCATTCCCCTCATCCTTCTTGCCTCCCCCTTCATTCCCCCTCATTCTCATCCACCATCTCACTCCCCTCACTCCCCTCCCTCATTCACCTCATCCTGCTTAACTCCCCCCTCTTTGCTCCCTCATGCTACCTCCCTCCTCATTCCCCCCCACCATCTCACTCCCTTCTTCCTCACTCTCCCTCATTTTCCTCATCCTTCTAACCTCCCCTCTCATTCTCCCTCCCTCCTCCACCATCTCACTCCCCTCCCTCACTCTCCCTCATTTTCCCCAATTTTCTAACCTCCCCTCTCATTCTCCCTCACTCCCCCTCCTTCATTCTCCCCCATTCCCCTCATCCTTCTTACCTTTCCCCTCATTCTCCCTCACCATCTCACTCCCTTCCCTCATTCCCCTCATCCTTCTTACTTCTCCCTCATTCTCCCCACCATCTCACTCCCTTCCCTCATTCCCCTCATCCTTCTTACTTCTCCCCCCATTTTCCCCACCATCTCACTCCCCTCCGTCATTCTTCTCATCCTTCTAACCTCCCCCTTCATTCTCCCTCACCTCTCCTCCACCATCTCACACCCCTCCCTCACTCTCCTCATCCCTCTTACCTTTTTCCCTCATTCTCCCCCACCATCTCACTCCCCTCCCTCACTCTCCCTCATTCTTCTCATCCCCTCCCATTCTCCCTCACTCCTCCACCATCTCACACCCCTCTCTCATTCTTCTTACTTCTCCCCTCATTCTCCCCCACCATCTCACTCCCTTCCCTCATTCTTCCTCATTCTCCTCATCCTTCTTACCTCTCCCCTCATTCTCCCTCACCTCTCCTCCACCATCTCACTCCCCTCCCTCATTCTCCCCCACCATCTCACTCCCCTCCCTCACTCTCCCTCATTCTCCTCCGGCAGCAACCGCTTCGGGTCGTCCCTGAGGTACCTGGAGGTGCCCATGGACCTGATCACCCACGTCGTCCTCCACGAGCTGACCTCCAAGTGCCCGAACCTCACCAACCTCCTCCTTGACTTCTCCACCGCCATGCAGCTCCATGACTTCAATGACATGCAGGTAGGCCTATGGAGGATCTTTTTTTTTTTGTTTTATTTTTTTTATTTATTTATTTTCATTTTCATTTTCTTTTTAGGCTAGGTCAGTAGCAACTCGAGGAGGTGTCATGGCGTCTGTTTTGATGGTCGTTCAGTGAAAAATATAACCGTTTAAAATCATTGTTTTCCTCTTTTGAAGATTGAAAAGACCAAAAATAAGGACCCATATTCACAGAGCATCGTAACCTTTGTGACGTCATCAAAATTGTTTTTTTTTTTTTTTTCCAAATTATAGAATCAGACGCCATGACACCTCCTCCTCGAGGTTGCTACTGACCTAGCCTTCCCCGGTGGGTGACGGGAGGTTTTGTAAAGGGGGGGAGGGGTTGGATGGGGGCGTGGGTGTCATCCGGTCTTTCTCCTTGTTGTTTTTGTTTTTCTTTGCTGTGTCTGTCTGTCTGCTCTCTCCTCCTCTCTCTCTCTCTCTCTCTCCTCGTCTCTCTCTGCTCTCTCTCTCTCTCTCTCTCTCTCTCTCTCACTCTCTCTCTCTCTCTCTCTCTCTTTTCTCTCATCTCTATCTGTCCATCTCTCTCTCTCATCTGCCTCTCCGAGTCACTCTCTCATGGACTTCATCAGGAAAATTTACATCCTTCATCACCCGGTCTGAAGTCTTGCATCTTGTGGGTGAGTGGTTGTTGTTCTTCGGGGGGGGGGGGGGTTAGGGGTTGTTCGTTGTTTGGTGGAATGGGGGGGTGTCCAGTGGAATGTTGTTAAGGATAGGAAGGTAAATTAGAGAACAATTTGTAAATACATGATGTATAGGGAGTTAGTATTATTATATATAGTGTTATATTTTAGTTTATTAGTTATACATTTGTATTATATATAATAGTATATATATATATATAGTAGATAGATTAATATATGATATATATATATATATATAATATGTGTGTTGTATGTAGTTGTGTGTGTTGTGTGTGTGTGTGGTGTGTGTGTGTGTGTGTGTATATACATCAAGCAAGCACCCCCGCCCCGCCCCCTACAGCCGCCCATCTCCCGCAGGAACCTACGAGAAGGCGGACGAGGAGGAGGAGGAGATCTAGGTCATCAACATCCCGAAGCTGAAGTCGGCGACGCCCAACCTGAAGGTGGTCAACCTCTACGGGATCAACTTCGTCGACGACTCCCACATCGAGGCCTTCAGCTCCAACTGCATCCAGGTGAGGGCAGCCGCGGTGGCTGCTGTGGATCTGGTTGTGGTTGCTGTTACTGTGGTTGCTGTGGCTGCTGTGGCTGTGGCTTGTGGCTGCTGTGGCTGTGGGCTGTGGCTGCTGTGGCTGTGGCTGCTGTGGCTGTGGCTGTGGTTGCTGTTGCTGTGGTGCTGCGGCTGTGGCTTGTGGTTGGCTGGTTGTGGCTGTGGTTGCTTACATTGTTGTTATCTTTATTATTCTTACCGTTAATATTATTGTTATCATTGTGGATCTGGTTGCTGTTGCTGTTTATTGTCATCATTGTTGTTATCTTTATTATTCTTACCGTTATTATTATTGTTGTCTTTGATATTATTGTTATTATTATTATTACCATTATTAACATTATTGTCAGTATTATTATTATCATTATTATTATCATTATTATAAATATCATTGCCATTATCATTTTTATTTATTATTATTATTATTATCATTATTATTATTATTATCAGCAGCATTATCATTATAATTATCATTATTATTATTATTATTACTATTACATTTTTGTATTATTATTATTATTACTATTATCATTACTAACAATAATATTATAAGCATTATTACTGCCATTATCAGAACTTTCATTTCTTTTTTTACAAAAAATAGATTAGCAAATTTAGGAAAATCTGTCTCTTGTAGGATTCTATATATGATATAAAGTTCCACTCACTAGAAGACTCAGAGCCAGACATCATAATACGATTATATTTTTTTTCTGAAATGAAAATGAAAACGAATGAAAAATAGCTCTCATCGATCTAGTTCTTATATATATATATATATATATATATTATATATATATATATATATATATATATATATATATATATATATATATTTAAATATAGGAAAATGACCTACATCTAAAATCAGCTAAATCGCGCTAAATAATTAAGAGGAATAGTTATAGAAAAATAATAAAGAAAAAAAAAACTACAACCAAAATTAAATAGAATTAAGCACTTTGTGACTGACAATCATAAAAAATCCACAACCAAAATTAATCAGAATAAAATGATCCGCGCTAAAAAGAATAAAAAAACAACAACATAATAATATATAAACTAAAACCAAAATAGAATTCGAATGTCACGTTTGGCACTTACCTCCGCCCGTCCTTCCAGCTGGAGTGCCTCGCCGTCAACTTCTGTGCCAAGGTGACCGGCACTTCCTTGAAGATTCTCCTCAGCAGGTGCAAGAAGCTCAAGTGCCTCCTGATGCAGCAGTGCAGTAAGTTAGGGGGGGAGGGGGGGTGGGGGGGATAGAGGAGGGGGAGGAGGCAGGAGGATGGGGGAGGAGGGGGATGGGAGGAAGAAGGGATAGAGGAGGGGGAGGGAGGAGGGAGGATGGGGGGGATAGAGGAGGGGGAGGAGGAGGGGCAGGAAGGGGGAGAGAAGGGCGAAGAGGAGGGGGGGCGGAGGGGGGAGGGGGAGGAGGAGGAGGGAGGGGAAGTGAGTGAGCGAGGATGAGGGATGTGAAGGTGGATTGGGGGGGAAAAGGGGAGGATGGGTGGTGGAGGGGGCAGGAGGAGGAGGATGGGGGGGATGGAGGTAGCGGGGAGGCAAAGGGGGAAGAAGGGAGCGGTGGTTGTAGGGGGAAAAGGGAGGGAGGAGAGGGAGGAGGGGGAGCAAGGGGGGATAAGGAGGGAAGTAGTGAGGTGTGGCATTGTGGGGGGAAAAGGGGGGGGGTGAGGAGGGAGGAGGAGGCATGGTGAGTGGTGGGATGGCAATAGCGGGGAAGGAGGGGAGGGTGCGTGTGAGGGAAAAGGGGGGAAGGAGAAGGCGCAATGGCAAGCGGAGGACCGGTAGGAAGGAGGAGGGAAAATTAGGGGAAATGGGGGGGAATGACGGTAAGGGGGAAGGAGGCATGAAATAGGGAGGCGGGTGAGATGAAGCCAGGGGTGTAGGGAGAGGGAATGAGTGTGGCGGGAAAGGGTTGAGTGGGAAGAAGGGGGGGTGAGGCCAATGGTGGAAGGAGGGGGAGGAAGGGATGAGGCAATGAGGAAAGGGGTATGAAAGGGAGCGAAACGAAAAAATGGGGAGAGAGGAAGTGAGGGAAAGGAGAAGGAAGGTGGGGGGGGCGGAGTAGGGAGGGGCGGAGCATAGTTGATTGGGAAACGTTTTGGGTTTTGTTTATTTGTTTTATGTTCGTTCCCCTCCCCTCCCTCCCCCTCTTCCTCCTCCCTTCCTCCCTCCTCCTCTCCTTACCTTCCATCCCCCTCCCTCTCCCTCTTCCTCTTCCCCCCTACCTCCTTCCCCTACTTCACACCCCACCCCACCCTCCCCTCCTCATCCCACCACCAACCCACAACCCGAATCTAACTCCTTCTTCTTCTTTCTTCGCCTCCGTCAGGCCTGCAGAACGAGAACGTGATGGCCGCCGAGTGGGAGAAGTCAGCGGTGTCAGAGCTCGACGTCACGGCCACGGACCTCTCAGCTGACTGCCTCATCGACCTGCTGACTCGCATCCCGGCTCTCAGGTGGCTCAGCGCCGGTCAGCTGGATGGCTTCACTGATGCGGTGAGGATGGCAGATTTTTTTTTTTTTTTTTTTTTTTGTGGTGAGAGTGAGAGTGAGGGGGGTGGGGGAGGAAGGGGAAGAAGGGGAGGGGAGGGAGGGAGGGAGGGAGAGAGAGAGAGGGGAGAGGAGAGAATGAGGGAGAGGGAGAGAGAATGAGGAGAGGAGAGAGAGAGGGAGAGGGAGAGAGAATGAGGGAGAGGGAGAGAGAATGAGGGAGAGGGAGAGAGAGGGGGGGAGGGAGAGAGGAATGCAGATTTTTTCGGTTATATCTTTCATTTTTGTGATGATAATGTGTGGGGATTTTTTCTTTCTTTCTTTTTTTGGTGGGGAGATATTAATCATGTGGGATTTTTAGATTAATGTAGGTTTTTAGATTAGTTATGTGAGTTTATTTTCAAGTTAGTTATGTAAGTTTCTAGATCGGTCATGTAGTGTTTTAAATGTAGATTTTTTTTCCTAACGTAGAATTTCGGGAGGTCGCTTGTATCAAAAATGCCCACTGCCTTTAATATCAGTAACGTTTTGCATAATACAATCTTAGAAATATGACCTTTACATCATCAAAACATTTTTTTCTCTCATTTCATTACATAACATCCTATTTTACACCATCCTCGTATCTTGTTTCATGACATCACCCTTATTTCTTATTTTATTTCTTATTTCTTATTCAAAATCACCCTTCTTATTATTTCTTATTTCTTATTTCTTAATTCATGACATCCCCCTCTCTTCCTCTCTCAATAACCCCCCCCTTTCTCCCCCTCCCCTCCCACCCACCCCCTCCTTCCCTCTCCCGCCGCAGGTCCTGAAGGCGTGGACGGAGCGGGGCAACCTGAAGGCCCTCATCGGCTTGGACCTCGAGCTGTGCGACAACCTGACGGAGGAAGGACTCTACAAGTTCCTGGCGAGGTACGGGCAGGGACTCCGCGGTCTCGTCCTCTCTGGCATCCCCCAGTGCACGGATTCTCTCTGCTCGAACGTCATGCCGGCGCTCAAGAATATCAGGTGGGTTTTAAGGGGGCTTTGAGGGGAGGAGGTGAGTTTTTAAGGGTGTCGGGTGAGTTTTTAGGATTGGTAGGGGAGTTTTAAGGGTGCTTTAAGGGGAGGAGGTGAGTTTTTAAGGGTGTCGGGTGAGTTTTTAGGAATGGGAGGTTTTTAAGGGTGTCGGGGTGATTTTTAGGAATGGGAGGTGAGTTTTAAGGGTGCTTTAAGGGAGGAGGGTGAGTTTTAAGGGTGTCTTTTAGAATGGTAGGTAGGTTTTTAAGGGTGTCGGGTGATTTTTAGGATTGGTAGGTGAGTTTTAAGGGTGCTTTGAGGGGAGGAGGTGAGTTTTTTTAAGGGTGTCGGGTGAGTTTTTAGGAATGGTAGGTGAGTTTTAAGGGTGTTAGGATTGGTAGGTGAGTTTTTAAGGGGGTGCTTTAAGGGTAGGTGGTGGTTTTAAGGGTGTCGGGTGAGTTTTTAGGAATTGTAGGTCAGGTTTTTAAAGGGTGTCGGGTGATTTTTAGGAGTGGTAGGTGAATCTGAAGGGTGCTATAAGGGTAGGTGGTGAGTTTTTAAGGGTGTCGGGTGATTTTTAGGAAGGGGATGTGAGTTTTAAGAGTGTTTTAAGCATATAAGGTGAGTTTTAAGGCTATCGGGTGAGTTTAGTAATATTAGGTGAATTTTAAGGGTAGTAAGTTTGTAAGATTTTTTAAAGGATGGCGGTGAGATTTTAGGATAGTGGATAGGGTGTAATTGAAGATATTGCTGAGGCTTTAAAAATATTGGATAAATTCTATTACGTGAGTTCTAAGGCCTTTAGGTGAGTTTTAGGGATATTAGGTGAATTTTTATTAGGTCAGGGGCGATTTAAAGGATATCTGGATTATAGTGTTTTTGGGATATCAGGGATTCTAAGAACAGCGGATGAGTCTCCATATCAGAAAAGCTTTGGTGATGTCATGCACGCTGTCATGAGGTATGCCAATGCATTAAGATTATCAAGTGAGCTGTCACTGAGCTGTCATGGACCTGTCATGGACCTGTCATAGAGGTTCTTTGGTGTGAGGTTGGGGGAGGCGTGTGAGGCGACAGGTAGAGCAGTGTGCATTGAATGTAGAAAAAAAAAGAAAAATAATATTTTCACGGCCTAAGAGAGGTATTTGACCGGTTGAGATTTTATCTTCGCCAGAAATTCTACAGACATTAATGAGATTACTAAGGATATGCAGTATACACACACGTGCATATAAAACAAAAACAAAAAACAAACAAACACAACACACACATACATATATATATATATATATATATATATATATATATATATATATATATATATATATATAATATATATATATATTATATGTATGTAATGCATGTAAATATATAATAACTATAGTGATGATAACAATAAGGATAATAGTAGAAATACCCCCAAAAACCATCACAACACCATCGACGCTAAACCCACACACACTAAAAAAACCCCGACCCCCGACCCCCAATTCCTCCCGCCACAGAATCCTGAAGCTGGGTCTGGCGGAGAACCTCGCCTACCGCATGGCCGGCAAGATCCACGTGGACGGACTGCTGGAGAACCTGTCTCGTTACGGCGCCAAGATCGAGCGGCTGGAACTCAGCTGGGACCCGGAGACGCTGCGATATTCGGATAAGAGTCAGAAGTGCATCGACACGCTGAGGGTCCGGTGTCTGAACCTCAAGTGTTTGGTGTTGTGGTAGGTTGAGTTGTGGAGGGTTTGGGTGTTGTGGTGTTTGGTGAATATATAATGAGGTTTGGGTGAATATATGATGTGGGTGTTATATTTTTTTTTTTTTTTTTCCTTCTTTTTTTCGTTAATTACCGTTATTCCGTTCCTGTGTATCCTATTTCTTTTTCTTCTGTCAATTAGCGTTGTTAGTTCTTTGCTTTCTCTCATTTTCTCATCCTTCCTCCTTTCATATTTTCCTCCTTTTTTCCTCAAATTACTCCTTCTTTCCCATTCCTCTCTCTGTCCTCCCTCTCTTCCTCCCACCCCACCTTCTACCCTCCCACCTCTCCTTTTCGTACCCCCTTTCTTTCGCTCTCCCCTTCCTCCTCCTCCCTCCTTCCTCCCATTCCTCCCACCCTCCTCCCTCCTTCCGTACTTCCACCTTCCCATCCCTCCTACCTTCCTCCAATCCCTTCCTTCCAATCTCTCTTCCCTTCTCCTACCTTTCTATGCCCACACCTCCCATCCCTTCCTCCCACACATTTCTCTCCCTCCCTCCGCTTACCACCTCCACCCTTCCATCCCATCCTTCCACCCTCCTTCACTCACCTTCCTATCAACATTAACTTCTCTTCTCCCTCCCTCCCATCTCTTCTTCCACCCTCCAACCCCATCCCCCCCCCTCCACCCTCTTCACCCTCCACCCCCCAACCAAACTCAAACCTCCTCACCTCTCTCCTCCTCCTCCCTCCCATCCCCCCTCCCCCACCCTCCACCTCCCATCACCTCCTCCCATCCTCCCCTCCCCCCCTACCCTCCACCCCTCATCATCCCCTCTCTCTCTCCCTCCCTCCCATCCCCCCGCCACCCCTCCACCCACCCCCTCCCTCCCCAACCCCCAACCAAAACTCAAACCTCCTCCTCTCCCTCCCTCCCATCCCCCCCACCACCACCCTCCCCCCCCTCAAACCCTCCTCCTCTCCCTCCCATCCCTCCCACCATCACCCTCCCTCTCCCCTCCATCCCATCACCCACCCTCCCCCTCCCCCCCCCCCTACCCCTCCCCCCACCTCCCATCCCTCCTCCTCCCCCACCCTCCCTCCCCCAACCCCCCAACCAAATCTCAAACCCTCCCCTCTCTCTCCCCCCAGCGACGGCAAATACTACGAGATCGTCAAGGCCAACTTCGAGCGCGCGGACCGAACCACCGTCGTCCGGACGTCCACCAACTGCTGCGTGTCCATCGTCTACCTCCTGACGCACTACAAGGACCTCGTCTTCAATTAAGGGCGAGAGAGAAGGAGAGGGAAGAGAGAAGGAGAGGGAGGAAGAGAGAAGGAGAGAGAGGAAGAGAGAAGGAGAGGGAGAGGAAGAGAGAAGAGAGAGGGAGAGAGAAGAGAGAGAAGGAGGAGGAGGTCGAGAGGATGGTGAAGAAAAGATGGTTTTGATCAAGGAAGGTTTCTTTTCTTCTTCTTCAAAAAAATTTTTTATTTTTTTTTCTTCTTTTTCAAAATGATTATTTTTTTTTTTTATTATTTAGCACGGGGTGTTGTTATAGGGAAATAAGGTTCTGATTTTTTTCTTGAATGGAGAATAGATTCGAAATGGAGAAATGGATAGATTATATCCGAAACGGGGGAAAAAGGTAGAATAAGAAAGAATTAGCATGATGATAAGAGAGATTATATAACTTATATAACAGAATTCAAATGATGGGGAAGAGAACATCAGAAAATGGAAATAAAACAGGAAGAGAGGGAAAGGACACAATAAAATAGGATTCAAAAGGGAAGAAGGATTAGAATAAGAGGCAAAGAAACGAAAATGAGGGATTGCCTGAGGTGGTTGAGAAAAGAGGAAAAAAATAATATGAAAATGGAGAAGATGAGCAGAGACAGCGCATTTTGAGGTCAAGAATGACGATAATGAGGCACAGATAGATAACTGGCATAGGGAGAAAGAAGTAAAAGGAGGTAATAAAACAGGCGAGTAAAATAAGGGAGGATTCATATGGGAAGACACATCAAAATGTGAATCCCTTTCGAAAAAGCAATATCGAGAAAAATTAAAAGACAATATCTATGAAAGGAAAACAAAACACGGATGTATTTATTACTAGAAAATCCCCCACAATGTCAGAAAAGGATATAAAGGAAAAGAAAATAATAATATCATATATGAACCTCCAAGATGTAAACATAAGGGTGTTCGATTCGCGGTATAGAGGATTAAAACCACGCCGAGCGATTAGCTTTTGTCTAACCGATGCGTCTATTTTCATAAACGTGTAGCAGTGCCTTATTCATGCTTTATCATCACGTGATACGCGGTTGCCTTCTTGCACCGTCCAGAACTGCAATAGTTGCAATACCTTAGTCCCGTCGTGGCTTTGGGGAATATTGAAAATTATTGCTAGGTTTCCAGTGAGCGAAAAAAATTCACAATCCTGTTATTTTAACCGTGGATAATGATTCTCCAGTTCCCGCAAAATCATCATTCATTATACACGGTCTAGTCAGTTGCAGTTGTTATCTTATTTGTAAATTGTTTGTTCCTATCTTATTAAATGTTATATCTGAATGCTTTCTTTTTTATTCCAACCTTCCTAAGATGAGTTATGGTAATATTTCCATTGATTGGGAAATATACATATGAAAATTAACGAATGCAAACTGTGTATTTGGCATATCGTTCGTCACATCTTCAGAATTTGAATGATTTTTAATTATACTTTTGCTTAGTTGTATCTCTTTGATAGCTTATCTTAAGAGGAATTTCTTGTTATTTTGATTGGATGTTCAGTCTATTTTTTATTTATTTATTTATTTGATAACTAGATTTTCCTGATACTGGATTCTCACCTGTGTGATTATCCGCATATTAAAAAATATCTTTAAATAATGATGATAAAGAAAATGTATCATTTCTGAAAACCAGTTTTAACTAATTTTAGAAACAGATAACAAAAACATTAATATACTTTTTTTTTTTTTTTGCTCTATTTTTCTCAGTCAGATCATCTTTGTTATCATTCTTGTTAGATGATGCATTGCTTAAACCGTTTATCCTTAATTTTCATTGTAGTATCTGTCAAGCAACAGAATAAAGTAATTAAAAAGACTGAAAATTATAATTAAAGGGGAAAAACTAGCTGTTCAGACTGATAAAATCCCCACAACTAAGAAATATAACGACTGCCAAGTGTTTGCTAACAACTGGTAAACGTTTTCAAGCAATTAACAAACATTTTTGAACAACTGACAAACGATTTCTAACAATTGACAAACGGTTTCTAACAATTGACAAACGTTTTCTATCGCCTGACAAAAGACCTCTAACTGACAAACATCCTCGAACAGCTAACAAACGTTTTTTGGACAATTGACATCCTGACAAACGTTTTCTAACGACGTTTACCACCTGACAAATGGCCAAGCATTCTTATTCCCACTTTCTAGCGAAGGAAACCCTTAATTAAATAATACATATGATTCTAATCGACTGTTGATATTGCTTTATGTCATCGGCCCATTCCCGCCCTGTGTATTTAGCCCTTGTCAAGAGCAACTTTCATACTTTAAAGAATATGTAAACCGCCCTTACAGTATTAATGGGATAGTTGAGTTTATATGGTTTATTTAGTTTGTTCTTGATCGAAATGAGGTCGTAAGGATAAGGTCCAGAAAACAAAAAGAGGAAAAATTGATTAGCAAACTCTATAAAAGAGGCACAAGGAAAATAATGCATCTTGAGATTATTTTTTATTCGAGTAGTTTACAGTGAAATAAAAAATATTTTGAACACGAATCTTTTACCTTTGCTAATGACTTTACTCTTAAGTCATGTTTCTGAATGACACGTTCTCTTAAAAAATGTTCATGATTTGCAATTTCCGGAGACATACACGGTATCTAATCATATAAAAGCCTTTTTTTTATTAATTATCACTAGTGACGTCATTCTACATGTTGTTGAGTATTGTTTTTTCTTTATTCTTTCGTTCTGAATTACTAGAAGGAAAAATTATCCATAAATACCAAATATATAAGATGAATTTTATTTGTTTATCTGGTCATTTATCTGTATATATATATTTATATGTTCTATTACGTTTGTTCTGCATTACTTTCAAATTTCTCTTACTTTGTTTTTTCTGCTTCTGCTTTATCACATTTTTATTGGTAGTCAACAGTATATGAAATTATCTCCAAGAACACTTACTAGATCAGGTATAATACTGACACTTCGTGGGTCGGAGTCCGACCGGAGAGGCGGCTGGCGCCCGCCGGCCCCTCCTTCCACAACCTCGAAGTACTGGCCTCTGTAGGAAATGCCTTGGAAGCATCGCATGACTTAGAAGTTGCCTTTGGCCGAGGCGGCGAGGACGCAAACCGCCTCCGCCGAGCGAGGGAAGGCTAGCTGCCGCTTCCGGAGCGCCCCCGCGACCCCGCAGAGCAGACGGAGGGACGGCACGCACGCCCGTCGGGGGGAGCGGCCTCGGGAGCTGACGCCCTGCGACCGAGGTTGGCATCGAGTGGGCTGCTCAGTCAGGGGCGCCCGTGGCCGTCGTGCTGGGGGCGGCCGCCTTGGCAGAGCTGCTGGACACAGCGGTCGACGTGACGGAGGCCTGGAGGAAGAGGGCGGGGCGGTGGAGCGGGAGCTGGGGCGCCGCCAAGGAGGACCTCGAGGGCGTGAGGCTCGGGGACGGCGAGCGAGGCTTGGCGCCCCGGCCGGGCTGCCGAGTCGCCACGGGCAGCGTCAGGAGCGGCCTGGAGGCGCCGGAGAGCGGCGACGTGACCGCCACGGCGCCGAGCAGGGGCGGGTGCGCGCCCCGCGGCGACGCCTGCATCACGGAGATGATCTGGCGCGGCGCCTGCTGCAGGTCGTGGGCGTGCGCGTGCGTCGGGTGCAGGTTGCGGATGTGCCTGTTGAGGTTGCCCGCCTGGTTGGCCTGGTACGAGCAGTAGGGGCACGCGTGGCGCCGCTCGCCCGTGTGCGTCAGCAGGTGGCGCCGCAGGAGGAAGCGCTGGTTGGTGCCCTGGAACATCTTGCCGCACACGCCGCACACGCTGCTGCCGCCGCCCTCCTCCTGCAAAGCAAGGCTCGTTAGTCGCTACGCCAACGGAGGTGGGGGGGGGGGGAGCGTGAAAGGAAACGGGGGAAGGGGGTTCATGCTTATGCTCTTGGCCGCCGCGGACAATCGGCGATCGGCTACAGGACGTTCGTCGTCTACTGCCTTGACTGTTTTATGTTATTGGTGATATCAGTGGCAATAACAACACTAACGAATAATGAAAATAATAATCATAATGACAATAGAAAAAAAAACATAAAAGCAAGATTAACAACCAAACAACTAATATAACATTGATGATGATGACAATAATAATAATAACATCAAGAGTAAAAATAACAAAAAAAAAATCACAATACTAACAAATGATAATAATACTAAGACAATGACAATACCAAAAACACCGAGAACGAAGGCGACAAAACCACACCGAGAACCCAATCAACCTCCTTTCCTACCCAGAAGTTCCCACGCTTTGGGAAATCCTCCACTCAAGGAACTTCCAATTGAACCCCAACATTTCTCTCCCGCGACGTTCCCCCCCCCAATGAACGTTCCCCGCCCGCTGCCACGAGAATTACGTTCGCTTCTCGTGCCAGAGAGAGGAATACGAGCGCAAAAGGGTCGTTGTACAAGGCTAGAATTGTATCACGTAATCTGTATGCAGGGGTCCGAGATGGATGATAATGATAATAATAACATGACAATAATAATAATAATAATAATAGTGACAATGATGATAATGATAATGATAATGATAATGATAATGATAATGATAATAATAATAATAGCAATATTAATAATAATAACAATAATAAGAATGATGATGATGACGAATAAAATAATAATAATAATAGTAATAATAATAAAATAATGATGATAAGGATGGAAATAACAAAAATTATACTGATAATAATAATAATAGCAATGATAACAACAACAATGCTCAGTAGTTCCGTGTTCCTATGACGTCGATTGGGAAGAAGGAAAAGGCTGAATTTGAAATTCGAAATTAACGGTTGGATTAACGGTTGGGATTCATTTCAGTGTTTGCTTCTTTCATCTAGTTCACTCCTACTATTCTCTGTATCTAAATAATAAGTAATAAAAATAGTAAGATTACAACCCTGATCTTCTCATATTCAAATGTGATATAATTTTCTAACCAAACATTTCCTGGGGATGCTAACGTTTAAAAATAAAAACATTGACTTTGCGAACGAAAAAACAATATTTAGCACATGCAAAACCAAGTCAAAAATCTATTTACTCAGAACCAAACATGGCTGGAGTAAGCCGTAATGTAGACCAATTATTACAAATAACGTAAAAGATAGAAGGACTCATTCTGGTCGCGTTTTTAAAACAGAATGCTGTCCGTTTATGATACAGAAATGACCATAAATTTCGCCCAAAAATCTCAAGACCATAAAACGGTGATATTCTTTAATCATGTAAATCAGAGCACAAAACGGTGATATTCTCGAGAGACACCAAGCCAGTTTAATCGTGTAAATCCCAAAGTTTGGCGGGATAAGTTTTTTTCGCGCGCACGCTGAACTTTCATCATAGCTTTATTGCAGTTAGCTTTACGTACATTTAATTGTCTATTTCGCTTGCTATCGTTTATCAACAATTTCGCTGAAGTGGAGTTTCGCATCTGAACATGTACTGATATGAACCGTAACCATGGCGACGAATGTAGAAGAGGTATGAATGAGAATGGATATTTTCACAGTACAAGAGAGGTATTTAAACCGGGTTCGAAAATATCTTTCAAACGAAGATACATTTCAAACCGGTCAAATACATCTCTTGTACTGCGAAGGTATTTCTTCTCATTCATACCTTTTCTACATTCATCAACATGAATATGGTTCATGGATATGGTACCGGTGAGAATGAATATCTTTACACTACAAGAGAGGTATTTGACCGGTTTGAAATGGATCTTCGTCAGGTATACTACATGAATTTCTGGCGGAGATATATATACGAACCAGGTTAATACTCTCTTGGACTGTGAACATATTCATTCTCGTTCATACCTGTTCTACATTCGTCTACAAATGAACTGATAAAATTAATTGCGTAACAGGGTGGTTCAACTGTGTTTTTTCGTGGGTCATTGTGCCCTGTAAACATAAATCATATTATTTTAGTGATCTTTATCATAATCAAGAGAGAAAAAAAACATTGCATTATCTATGACTAAGTTCGTGGATGTAAAATACTTGCTTATCAGAATGGCGACGTTTCTTATCTTAATTAATAAGTGAAAACTCTTGTATCATTTCGAGATTATATGATCTATTTTGTCTCAGGTCATATGCAAGTGAATGCGAGAGAGAGAGAGAGAGAGAGAGAGAGAGAGAGAGAGAGAGAGAGAGAGAGAGAGAGAGAGAGAGAGAGAGAGAGAGAGAGAGAGAGAGAGAGAGAGAGAGAGGGAGTGAGGAGAGGAGGGGGAGAGGAGTGAAACAGAGAGAGAGGGGGGGTGAACGCGTGTGTGTGTTGTGGCGGGTCACTGTCCAAGTTCGACCCCTGAGCTATGCTATATGCAATCTGTGCATGGCTGAGTTGTCTGTTACATTTGTTACAGACTATTTCCGTCGCCCGGCTCCCCCCCCCCACCCAATCCCGAGGACGAGCGAGGGCCCAATCCTAATCAATAATCTCGCACCGAGGACGGCGGCGACGGCGGCGCAGGGCGTCGGGGGCCTAAGGGCGCAGGTCGTCGTCCTTGGAGAGGACGGCGTCGGGGTGGCGATGGCGCACGTGCCTGGCCAGGTTCTCGCGCACGTTGGCCTTGTAGGGGCACCGCGGGCACGGGAAGGGCCGCTCGCCCGTGTGCGTGATGAGGTGGCGCTCCAGGTGGTAGCGCCGCTTGCTCCCGGCGAAGACCTTGCCGCACGCGGGGCAGTGCAGCGCCGAGCTCATTTCCCCTTCGGTGAGCGGCGCCCTCCTGCGGCGGGGGGAGGAGGAGTCCCCGTACCTGGCGGCGGCCCCTTCCAGTACGCCCAGGGCCGCCACGCGCCCGCCGCCGCCTCGGGCGACCAGCGGAAGGGCGCTGTGGCCGAGGCGCGGCCAGGCGCCCCGCACGGCGACGCCTCCGGGCGCGTCGCGGCTCTGCAAGGAAGGGAACTCAGGTCAACCACCGTGAAGGCCAAACAAAAACAGATATTAAAATAAAAACAAAAAAGGCTAAATAAAGAGGATTTTAGTCGGTGTTGCTTTTCGGACGAGGGAAGCGACTCGAACTCTCCATGGCGCCGCTGACCTCGGCTTCAACCCAGAAACTAGGAACAAAAAGTAAGCGTCTGCGTTCAGGATTCATGTTTTTGTTTCTCGTTTTCCTTTCTTACTTTTGCACTCTTATCATAATATGGAGGGCAGATAGAGAAGCAGAGAGAAAAAGAGAATGAGAGAGAGATATAAACAGAGACAGAGAGAGAGAGGGAGATAGACAGAGAAGAGAAAGGAGAGAGAATAAATAGGCGAAAGACACAATACTGAGTTGCCATATTCCTTTCTGTGTGCAATTTGTTCACTCACTTTTCATCTATCGCAAGTCAATAACCTTATTACTTACGCGTCATTCCGATGCCAGTTAATACCAAAACTGCACGAAATCTGTCTACAATTTAAACCTTAAGAGATTATGACGATTACGTGGGAACTTTTTTAAAAAAATCTCAAACCACATACTCGGCTCCGACATGAAAACACAATAACATAAAAAGAGAATAAAAAAAATAGGTAGTAGGAAGAAAACAGGAAGTAAGAAGGGCATGGAAACAAGAACAGAACTGTACAATCATATTTTATTTATTTACAAAAACCAAAACAATGGTTTGAAGAGCCACGGGTTGAAGGGAAGACCTCAGCCCATCTGCGGCTCCTTCTCTTACACACTAGAATCAGGTAACATATGACTGCTATTGTGCGCATGCTTGTCCTCTGTTTTGGGAAGTGAGGAGGAGGAAGAGGAAAGTGGAGGAGGAGGAAGAGAAGAGGAAAGAGGAGGAAGAAGAGGAAGAAGAAAAGGTGGAGAGGAGGAGGAAGAAGAGAAAAGGTGGAGGAGGAGGAGGAAGAAGAAGAGGTGGAGGAGGGAGAAGAAGAGGAGGAAGAGGAAGAAGAAAAGGTGGAGGAGGAGGAAGAAGAGGTGGAGGAGGAGGAGAGAGAAGAGAGGTGGAGGAAGAGGAAGGAGAAAAGGTGGAGGAGGAGGAGGAAGAAGAAGAGGAGGAGGAGGAGGAAGAGGTGGAGGGAGAAGAAGTGGAGCAGGAGGAAAAGGAAGAGGAAGAGGAGGAGGAGAATAAGAAAGAGGAGGAGAAGGAGGAAGAGGAGGAGGAGGAAAAGGAGAAGAGGAATAGGAGGGGGAGGGCGAGGAAGTGAGGGACGAGGAGGAGGAGCAGCCGGAGCAACAGGAAAAAGATCACGAGGAGGAGGAATAGAAGTCAGAGGAGAGAGACCATCACTAAAGGACTTCGACGAAGGTGTAAGCAATGCTACAATTTTTTCTTGCTTCCTTTGCATTTTATTCTCTTTAGATAAGATATAATTTTCACAGAGAATTTTCACAAACCTTTTTAGATTTTCACAAAAGTCCTTTTCTAAATTTCGTAAACTAAAAAAAAAATGGAACTTTTCATATACATAAAAACTTTTTGCTTGCATAAAATTTTGATACTTTTCACAAGCATAAAAGTTTTGCAACTCTCATAGACATTATATCTATAAACACAGACAAAATATATTTGTAAACATAACAGCGGATCTTCTATCATGTAAATTTTAACAAACATTCCAGATTCACGCTATTAACATTTCTTTTTTTTACATGGATAATGGTGGATTTATTTCTTTATCCACTCGGGACAAAAATATTTTCGCAAATAATGTTCTGCGCAATTTTTTCTTCTTCTTCTTTATTATTCTATTCACATTTTCATCTATTGCGAGATTTGATTCCAAACAAACAAACTAAAAAAAAGAGATCGGCTTTTCTCAGATCTGAAATAATATATACACATTTTTTGAGAGGCATGTTTTAAAATCTGAAAATATCCTTTTTGGGGGTAGGAAGGACAGCAAATACGCATCCAAAAAAATTTTTTTTTCCCGTAGAGACGCCTCTACAAAGCATGTTATTCACCTTGATACAAAATCGGTACAAAATACATCACAGATTTTTTATTTTTTTCTTTCTTTTTACTCTCAACAGGGAATTACTGTTCACACATATTATTGCATAAAGAATAACATGAGATTCTAGACTCTTCCAGAACATCTGTCGTAGAAGAACAATACTGGCAAAATCATATTTATAAAATGAAATAATAATAATAATAATAATAATAATAATAATAATAATAATAATAATAATAATAATAATAAAAATAATAATAATAATAATAAGCGTATTAATCAATGAATAAAATAAGGTTTACAGGTTTCAGCAAGTAGCGATATAAAACAAAGACATAAGAGATTAACAATGTCTTTTTATACAATACAAAACTTAATATAATAGGAAAATTAATATAATAAAAAAGAAATGAAAAGGCCTACTTTGGCTGGAATAGAATAACTTAAACATCTATTTCCATAAAACGAAGAAAGAACATAATTAAATCAATCAATAATAGGAGATAGTTTGTAAGTTTACGGTAAATTAAATAACTGTGATAATAATAACAATAATAATAATAATTAAAATATAATAAAAAAAAATTATATCAATAATAAAAATATTTATAATAATGATAATATTAATAATGACAATAATTAAAAAATATATAATAATAACAACAATAAGGACACTAATAAAACAATAATAAAATGAGGATGGTAATATCAAAGATAATAATAACAATAATATTAATGTGACTAACAACAACTTGCATTGACAAAATTCTAAATAATATTCCTCCTAATAAAACAAATCTTGTCTTTGTAACCAGCTGCACTATATGTCATTTGGCTTTTGAACTGCTTTAAGAAGGTGAAGAATGGAAAGAGAAAACGGAGAAGTGGAAGTAGAAAAATGAATAATAGAAGAAAAGATGAAGGAGAAAAGGGTAAAGAGGAAGGGATGAAAGTGATGGTGGTGGAGGAGGAAAAAAAGGAAGAGGAGGACGAAGAGGAAGAGGGGGACAGTGGAGGGGAAAGAGGAAAAAGAGGAGGAAGAGGAGCAAGGAAAGAAGGAAATGAAGAGCGAGTAAGAGGAATCATGCAAGAACTAAAACGGGAATAACCCTTGCAAAACACACACAAAAAAATCCAAATGCACAGAATGATACACTAATAAATAAAACCTGCACATTTACCTACACTATGTGGGGACTGACTGAAGATGGTCCGACTAACTGTACAAAAAAAGAGAAAATCAGGTACCTATGTAGTAATAACATCTACATTCCACACCACGGGGACAAAGTATGGATTCGCTCGCCGGGAAAATGGTGGCAGCTATTTGGTTTGGGATCCTTCGGTGATCAATCTTTAGACTGGTTATTATCAAAGACTTCTAGCACCAAAGAAGGGGGATGGACGAGGGGATAAGAGGGATGTGAGACTAGGAAAAAAAGGTAAATCGTGATGCTCTTTGCAATGACTTAAAACCGAAGGGAGGTGTAAGGGTCATGGATGGCGGATGCATGGAGGATGGGATATTTCCTGTCTGGGATGTGGCTTTCTGTAAGTGGAAGCAAGAGAGGAATGAAGGTGAAGTGGGCCGACGGATGAACAATATAGGGTGCTGCTGAGGCGTAGAGGTAATTGATGTAAGTTGTAGGAGGTACTTGTGGTTTTGGAGAAAATAATGGATACAAGAACTGAACCAGAGCTGAACTTCCATTGGTAGCAGTGGGTTGCGGGGAAGTGTCAGGTAAGTGGAAGCGGTGGTGGGAAGTGGGAAGGATCAGGTGGAGTTCTTAACAGGAAGGGGGATCAGGAGATTGACAGCTAGGTGGAAGTGGTGGCACGAGAGAAGGGATGTGATGGCAGTCACTGGGATGCGGTGGCAGACGGGAGGAAGGGTAGCAGCCATTTAGGGGCGTCAGGAGGGAAGCAGAGGGCGAAGAGCTATGTGGAAGTGGTCGAGGTGGAGGCAGGCAGCAGGTGGACGCGGCGGATGTGGAGCTTGAGGTTATCGACGCGGTTGGAGCCGTGTGGGCAGTAAGGGCAACGGAAGGGCCGCTCGCCCGAGTGAGTCAGCATGTGGCGCTCCAGATTCTGCTTGCGGTTGACGCCCGTGATGAAGCGGCCGCAGACAGGGCACCGCACGCCCGCGCCCTCCGAGTCACGCCGCCCCTGCAAGGAGGAGGAAACCCTGGCTTAGTGGACCCGGGAGAGACAGCGAGGGGGGTGGGCAGCGGGAGAAGGAGAGAAAGGGGGAGGAGAGAGAGAGAGAGAGAGAGAGAGAGAGAGAGAGAGAGAGAGAGAGAGAGAGAGAGAGAGAGAGAGAGAGAGAGAGAGAGAGAGAGAGAGAGAGACCGTGAGGAGGGGAGGGGAGCTTGAGAGATGACACAGCGATTGGGAGTAAAGCAGGTAAACCCCTTCCCCCTCCCCTCCCTCCTTCTCCACCCAAAGACCCACAAGGTAAGAAAACCTCCCGCTATTACCCTACATCCACCTTCTTCGCCGCAGTCGACGCTCAAACGAAGGACGGGAGGCCTAAGACGCTATCCTCTCACCAAAGCCGACAAGGCAGAGCTTCCCTAACGTGCAGTAACGTAATAGCGAGCGTGCGGATGGGCGTGCGGGCGTGTGGGCGTGGGGGTTGCGTTCCTCTTGGCGCCCACGACGAAGGAAAGTAAGGAAGACTCGAGGAGACAGTGCGGACGCCGACGGAGACCGGGTGGAGGGGGCGATGGGGTGGGTCCACGGGGCGTCGCGGAAGGAAAACGCGGACAGAAGAAAGTGGTCCCAGGATATAGAAAACGGGATTGTTCCACCGAAAAGAAAACGTGCTTGCAAGATAGAGAACGGGAAATGGAAGGGAGACTATTAGAACATCACAGAGTCTCGGCCTCAAGCACCAACAACTCCCCCTTGCCTGCCACGAGAAGGAGGAGAAGGAAGGGGAAAAAGAGGACGAGGGAGAGAAAAAGAAGAAATCAATGAAAAAGAAGAGGGGGAAAGAGCGAGGGAAAGGAAAAGGAGAGGCTAAGTGAGATGGAGAAAGAGGAAAAGAGAAAGAAAGGAGAAAAGAAAAAAAAATGAAGAGGGGGAGGAGGAGAAAAGAAGACATCAAAATTACAGCACATTTACACTCACACATCGTCATCTTTCCCCCAAAACCGCGTCCGAATCTGTGCAACGACTATAAAATTACGTCGATGGCTAACAATAAGGTGTTTTCTTAAAAGTTTTCTTCCTTCTCTCCTTCTCCTTCTTTCAAATATAGTTTCGAAAAATTAAAGAGAAAATGAGTCCTTCAGAAACAGTTGAACGTAGACATGTATATAATATATTTGTACTATTTGCTCGTTCAGTGTGTAGGCCTATCGTTGGCTACACTGCTAGAAATTCTATCAGTGTATTGCATTCACGGTCTTGTGTAATCATAAACATTATCATTATCATTATCATCATTATCCCCATAACCGTTACAATTATCATCAGTATTTTCATTATCATTATTAGCATCATCATTATAATTATTATTACTCTTTTACATTTTCTTTCATTTACTTTTTCAATTAGCTTCCCGTCGATCAACGAACCAATTTCCGCGTTTTGTGATAATTATAATGTTTTTTGAGTTGAAATTAGTTCTGTTTTTTTAATCTAAATGTGTGTGCATGTTGTGTTGCGTGTGCGTGTGCGTGTGTGTGTGCGTGTGCATATGACGACAGCTAGATAAATACGAGGAGAGAGAGAGAGAGAGAGAGAGAGAGAGAGAGAGAGAGAGAGAGAGAGAGAGAGAGAGAGAGAGAGAGAGAGAGAGAGAGAGAGAGAGAGAGAGAGAGAGAGAGAGAGAGAGAGAGAGAGAGAGAGAGAGAGAGAGAGAGTTTTTACACGATTTAAAACAACACAACCATCATACAAGAATATTTTACTTCCTATCTTGGCGCCCCGGCGAGATTAAGGGTATTTCTTTCTCCCTCGGACATCGCTGGCGCCGCGAGGGCGTGGCCGGCTAGGACATTCGGTGCATGCGGAGGGCCCGACGGAGGAGCGAGCGCGGGTCCCGAGGGGCCGAGCGCGGGGCCCAGCCCGTCGGCGCCGCGTCGGCCGCGGCTTGCCAGGTCGCGGTGCACCGTGAACACGTGCGTCTTGAGGTTCCCGATCCTGTTGGTGCGGTGCGGGCAGTGTGGGCACTGGAAGGGCTTGACGCCCGTGTGCGTGAGCACGTGCCGCTCCAGGTCCTGGCGGCGGTTGCGGCCGTTGAAGCCCCTGCCGCACACGCTGCAGGTGAGCTGGTCCAGCGCGGCGCCGGGGACCGCGTGCGGGTGGCGGCGGTGGCCAGGTGCCGCCAGCAGCGCCGGGAGAGCCTCGAACCTGCGCCTCTGCAACACGAAACATCCTTCTTCAGTGCCTCGCGCTCGTTAGTCAGTTAGTCCTACGATAAGAAAGGCCGCTCGCGAGGCCGGCTGGACAGGCCGGCGCCGGGCGCTTTTTTTATATATATATATACCTTGTTATGGTCCCATCACTTCACTGATTCCTGATTTGTCATCTCCGTTGTGACTGACTTTGATCATATTTCCAATTGTATTATCGAGACTTGCTTGCCATTATTTGCATTAATTAATGGTTTACATTCCATTTTTCCTCCTTGCGACAAGCCATTGAAATTGAAATATGACAATGCAATATAAAGAATATATATAAATATTTTTAATTGTGTGTGTGTGTGTGTGTGTGTGTGTGTGTGTGTGTGTGTGTGTGTGTGTGTGTGTGTGTGTGTGTGTGTGTGTGTGTGTGTGTGTGTGTGTGTGTGTGTGTGTGTGTGTGCGTGTGCGTGTGTGTGTGTGCTATGATAGATCGACAGCTAGATAAAGATAGACGACTAAGATCAAGATAAAAATAAAGATAATATATAAAGATAGATATAGAGTTACACAGGCAAATAGACATAAAAGACAGGTTGGCTTGTGGACAGACAGCATCGCCAGCAAATGAACCAATAAATGATAATAAAACAAGCAGGATAATAATCTCCAACATCATTTTCTTCTTTATTACTAAATCAACTCTCCTTTAACAGGTGACTGGAAAGATATATATTATGTATATATATACATCTAAAATGGATCCAGGTTTCCGAATGGTGAATATGCACAAACAAAGGAGAAAAAAGTACATATACTCTGTGAGGTGGGAAATATAACAGGCTCTCTCACACCAACACACACACACACACACACACACACACACACACACACACACACGCACAACACACACACACGCACACGCACACCAAAAAAAGGGGGGGAAAGTTTATTACAACAAAAATAAAAGATAGTGATTCTATGACACATGCATACAGTATATAAACTTTTAATCTTGAGGACGTTTGTGTGTGTGCGTGTGCGTGTGCGTGTGCGCGTGTGTGTGTGTGTGTGCGAGTGAGAGAGAGAGAGAGAGAGAGAGAGAGAGAGAGAGAGAGAGAGAGAGAGAGAGAGAGAGAGAGAGAGAGAGAGAGAGAGAGAGAGAGAGGAGAGAGAGAGAGAGAGAGAGAGAGAGAGAGAGAGAGAGAGAGAGAGAGAGAGAGAGAGAGAGAGAGAGAGAGGAGAGAGAGAGAGAGAGAGAGAGAGAGAGAGAGAGAGAAGAGACTGTGAGTGAGTGAGAATAAACGTGCGAGATAATGATAGTGAGCGCGAGAGTGAGAAATAAAGCACGGAAGTGATTGAGAGTACGAGAACGCACATACCTGTGTAGTATTTACCAATCATTTTCTAACAACCACAACCTGTCACTGTATAACAACCTCACAGACCACACTCACTCCCTCATTGAGATTCCGATTATCATTAACCCCGTGGTCTCTCGTTTTCTTTTTTTCCCTCGTGCTTCCATTTAAAAAAAAAGAACAATAATGAGGATAACAATACAAAAATCGTGATTTTGATTGTCACTTAAAAATACTGCTCGGTGGCTATTGCACGATTTAGATACACTGCTCAAGGGTGTTCATTAGAAAAGGGGTAATACAAAAAATCATTGTAAATACCTCAACTGTTTGTTTGATATATAGGTATCACTTTGGATTTTCTCTCCTCAAAGGGACCGGCTAAAAGAAGGGAAAATACGGTTATCGTATTGCAAGGAATATATGGTGTTTTTTTTTCTTTTTTTCTTTAAGGGAAAATGACACTTCCTAAAGCAGGCACAGCGGGACTTCCTTCGCGCGCCGCAGGGCAGGCGGGAGGTCCTCCCCTTCGCTAAGGAGCGAGTTGAGGGCCGCCCCTGCAGCAGAGACCTGGGCATCGGCGCCGGCCAGAGCCCTCGGGGGCCGGG